TTCGCCATCAATCTGCGAGATGCTTTTCTAACGTCTACGTCTCGTCGTATGTGTTTTTATCAGCATCAGATCTCACAAAAAATGGTGCAGTCTTTTGTCATTCTTGAACTTGGGATCCCCTCATCTTGTCCTAAAAATCGAGTTTATCTTGTCACAATAACATTTTGTGATATTTACTCGAGAAAAATTACAACACGTCGTGATTGATATCTTGGCCAAATCGACAAAGGATAAAATATTTGATGGTAAAGTTAGTCTGTGCAGCCTCTGCTTTTTACATGCGGGAGAAATTTATGTACATAACGTTTGTACTTTCTTATCTTTACACAAACCAATAACCTCCATTTATACATGAAATATTGTCAAAATCTATTTTTTTTTATATAAACCAATAACCCTCACTTATAGACGAAATGATCTAAGTTTGCCTCTCATCTGCCAAAAAACCACAACTTCTTATCTATATTTACAACTCACATGTGTTATAAGTTAGTCTGCATAGCATATGCTCTTCACATGCATCATTACAGGGCTGAACTACTGCTAGGAAAGGTTGAATTGTAAATAACTGCTTAATTAAAACTAATCTAATTATGTAAATCTAAATGACAAAAAGAGTAGTGCTGGTTTTTTAAAAAGACCTATATTTGATAATATTTTCCGGTGTGCATCATTTTAGACAATTTCCTCTTATTTTATATTTCAATAAAATTATAGTAGCAATAATTAACTATGTAAAATTTTAATAAAATCATAATTCTATTAATTTTTTGTTAAAAATTTAAAATAAATGGATAAAATTTGTGTATTTGTAAAGTAAAAGGTTTATTTGAAAAATAATAGCTAAATAAAAAAGGGAATATATTTGAAATATTTTTTTAGGGTAAAAAACTAGAAGTAACTATTAGAGCAAACTTTTCTCTATTTTTTAAAAACTCTGTTATTAGAATAAAAATAAAGTAAACCATAATCTCTGACATGTTAAATAAAGGCACCCATGTTGAAATAGTCCATATATAAATCATTAAACATGACTTCACCAACTTAGAAATTTACAACTTGACTTGCTTGTCTCTCAAAAAAAAAAGATTCCAACCATGAAAGAAATTCCTTCTTTGAGAAAATATTCCATGGAGGCATCACCGCAACCTCAAGTGTTCATCAACTTCCGAGGAGAGGAACTTCGTCACGGCTTTATCGGCCACCTCAAGATAGCCTTAGACAGGAACGGGATTAACGCTTATATAGATACGAATGAGCAAAAAGGCGTTAATCAGAAAGTCTTTTTCAAGAGGATAGGAGAGTCGAAGATCGCGCTGGCAATCTTTTCTCCAAGGTACACAGACTCTGTATGGTGTTTGGACGAGCTGGTGAAGATGGTGGAATGCATGGAAGAGAAGAATCTCGTGGTCATTCCCATCTTCTACATGGTGACTCCATACACCATTAAAGAACTGATGGGAGATTTTGGTGACAATTTGAGGAAGCTGGTGAAGCAAGTTGATGACGTGAGAGAGAAAAAATGGATTGTAGCTTTGAAGTCTATTCCCAAAAATATAGGCTTCAATTACGACGGGAAGAGGTAAAAGTTCGAAAACTCACTCCATATAAAAACATAATATAAGAAGATTTAACAACAAAAACAACATACACTGAAAGTCGAATTTTGCTTTATGGTTATGAAAGATAAACCTGTTGTTTGTTAAATACCGTATGGCCGTATTCCAATAAGTATAAGATAATCAATTTGTCAAAATTCCAATACATTATACTAGGTGGTTCGCCTGCGCTAGCGCAGACAAATTTTTTTTTCATGTATAAAACTTTTTGCTATAAATTCTTTTTCTTTATTATTTTTGTTGGTTTTTCTAAAAAAAAACAAACTGACATAAAATACTTCCATTTTACAGTGTGTTGACTACCACACTTAATCTATTTAGCTAATTGCTCACATTAGATGCAAAGACAAACAAATTTTGGGGCAAGAAAACAATTGTAACTTTATTCACTCAAACCAAGATGTTTAAAAAGATACAATAAAGTTGAATGGTAAGAAATTAATTTTTCTTTCAAATAATGAAAACCCATCTAAACGTGAATCGTGTTTCATCTCTTATCCAATTATATTTACTTGAAAATTAGAAAAAATATTAATATCATTAATTTACTTGAAAATTAAGAAAAAAATATTAATATCATTAAGAAGATGAATCATATTTTGATTAAAAATTCAATCTGTATAAACTTAGCATTATTAGACAAATGTGACTTTTAGCAATATACACATCTAGTAATAGGATCAATAAAAATGTTTCTAACAAAAAAGTTTGAAAAGTGTGAAACAATTTACTTGGAAATTATCAAGAAAGTATGAAAAACTTACTTGTTAGTGTACACATTTGAGGTCCAAACTTGCCACCATGTAACACTAAGAAAAATATCATAGTAAAGGTTAGATCAGTAGTATGCTGTACTTATTCGTGATTGCTGTGTGGACAAAAAGAATTTACTAATAAATTATTTGAGTTTAATTGTTCATTTTAAAGGAACTCATGAATATAAACTCATTTCAAAGGTTTTTGGCTGGCTTTTATTTTGTATTATATACTCTACAATGTGTTCCATCTTGTTATGAAATAAATTTTAGTGAAAAAATAATCACCAAATCATAGTTAAAACACGTCATCACACGGAAATTTGTGAACGTTTGGAGTGTGCGAGATTTATTGTAAAAACAAAAAATGTGCATATAGTAACTGCTGTAATAGATATTGATTTTGTATAGTCATAAACTTCGGTTTGTTTTATTCAACAATCGCAAATAAGCAAAGCAAATTAAATTAAAATCTAATAAAATATATACCAAAATATGTGTATATGAACGACCATTCGATCAAAGTCGGCGACTGAATTGAATTAAAATTCAATAAAATATATACCAAAATTATTATCTTTTGACATTAACATCGTAATTCTTTAGACTTAAAATAGCTAGTATAGTTGATTATGCTCCAGTGCAGATGATTGACCTAATTCTTTAGACTTAATTTTATACACTTCTTGCACCTCATCACTGGATCCATTGTCCCATTCCAAACTATGGTCATCATATCGTTTTCCTCAATCTCGGAAGTACAATTACCACTATCTGAATCATCATCAGCAGCATCATCACCCAAATATTCAGATCCCCTACTTTAACCATCATCATCATCAGACTCGTCTAATTCATAGTCAGAAGAATCATCATCAGTTCCAACATCACAAGTACCATCATTCTCATTAGCAAACCATCTTCATCATCAGACTCGAAGAATCATCGTCGGTTCTAGCATCACCATCCCCATCATCACTAAGATATTCTGATCCACTACTTAAACCTTCATCATCACTTGAATTGCCTAACACATGCTCGAAACGTTCGTACTCATCTATTCCATCTACTCCAAACATTATTGTTAGAAACACCACGAACAATTGAGCAAACAACAAAGAAATAATCATATTACCAATCATAAATCAGCGAGACCCAACCTTTATTTTTTAATTAAATAATACTAAAACACACATACCTTGGAAACCACGACAAATATGACGTGGATGAACTCATTATAGAATCCCATTTAAACGAATATAAGAGCATCGGTATAGGAGATCTCATGATACAAAGCTTTTAACATTTTCTTATTATTAAAAAACTTGCTTTTTTCAAAAAATAAAAAAGAAAATTTTTGACAAATGGCGTCTCACCACGTAACGGGGGAGACGCTCCTTCTGCCTCTACGCAGAGAGCCGATTCTACCTTTTAGCCTTGCCACATCATTTTTTTTTTTTTTTAAAACCCTACTAAAGCTGTCTATTACAGATGCTCTCACCATTGTCTCGAAACTAAGAAAAATAAATATAACATCACAAATCAATAATAAAATAATAGAAAACAAAAAATCTAAGACATAAAATAGATCGATAGCTTTAAAATAAATAAAACATTCACAAAGCATCAGTACATATGCACTAACCATTAGAGCACATAAGAAAATTCATCAAAGCCATTGTTAGCACATAAGATTCATGATTTGATAGGAAAACACAAACCCTAAAATACGATCGAAAACTATATATACACGAAAACTCTAGAATTTATATATTGATATTTTTATATTTATATACGTAAGGATAATTATTAATCAAATATATCGATGTGAAAATAAGTGTTAAATTTGCATAAATACAAAAGATATTTTAAATAATAGAATATTTGCCGAATAAAATTATGGAAGATAACCAAATAAATATATGATTTATATATATATATATCAACAATTGTTCATATAAATAATATTAATCCATATATTATAGTTAATTAATTTTATTAAAGGTAATTAAAGTCAATTCATATAAGGGGTAAAGGGTAATAAACCATGATAACTCTCAATTACAGCCCAACTTGCTTGCCAATTAATAATATGATTAAAAACTTATGATAAAAAAAATAGATATAGTTTCAATAAATATAGGACAATCAATTTGTTAGAAAAAGTAACATGATTTAACTACGAATAAAAAAAGGCTTAATATTTAGAAAATTTTGTGAGAATTAGGTTATGACGATTATAAACGTTAGGCGCCACAAAAGTAGTTCATCACAATTATTATGGCGGAAGTTGATTTTTTTTTTCTTTTGTTTAACCGTTTATTTTTAAAAAAAAAATTATGATGAGAAAATACAAAAGTGATCATGAGAAAATAAATGGATGGTAAGTTTTGTCAATACAGATTTTGTATTAAAAGAAAAAATAGTTTCTTTTAATTTTTTTAGTCAACTCTAAACAAGAAAACAAGAATAATCTTTGGTATGTAGTGTAGTTTCTCGTTACGTAATTAACTATATTTAATTATTCAGAGATGAACACCTTCTCATCGCTGAAATCGTTGGAGAGGTGCATAAAGTATTAAAGGATATAGCATTACAGAAAGGTGAAGAAGAACAAAAGACCAAAATGCTTCGCACAAATTCCTCCACATGTTCAAGCTCTATTTCCCACAATAACAACAGAGTAGATTCTGAAAACCAAAACGAGCTCGCTGGACTCAATCAACGCCTTGAAGAATTGAAAGAAAAGTTGGATATTAGCCGCAAGGAGACTCGCATCGTTGGGGTTTTTGGGATGCCAGGAATCGGCAAAACCACTCTGGTGAAGAAACTCTATGATGACTGGAAACACAAGTTCCAGCGTCACGTTTATATGGAGAAAATCAGTAATGATTCGAGTACGTACGGGACTCCTTCGCTACAGAGGATGCTTCTCAAAGGGTTGCTTAATGACACCTACAGTGAGATAAGCGACGAGATGACTTATGGTTCCGTAGAGGGTGAACTGCTGGAGAAGAAAGTTTTTCTTGTTCTTGATGACGTGAGTGCCAAGAAACAAATACAAGCTCTTCTTGGGAACCACAAATGGATTCGGAAAGGAAGCAGGATTGTTATTGCCACGCGAGACAGGAAATGCATAAGCCAACTCGAGTATACTTATGCTGTCCCGAGATTGGATCTCACTGACGGCTTAAAGCAATTCAGCTCTTATGCCTTTGAAGACCACAAATGTCCTTACCCGGGGAATCTCAGGGATCTTTCCACAAAGTTCGTGGATTATGCTAGAGGTAACCCGTTATCTCTCAAGATATTGGGTCCGGAGCTTCTCTCGAAAGATGAGGAGCACTGGTCACAGAGATTGGATACACTGGCGCACATGCCCAGCCCGTGTATTCAAGATCTACTGAGAGTAAGTTATGATGAGCTAAGCGAGCTGCAAAAAGAAGCTTTTCTTGTTGTGGCCTGTTTCTTCAGATCAGGGGATGAGTATTACGTTAGAAGTTTAGTGGATTCGGGAGATCCTGATTCTAGTGATGATGATTCTGCTAGTGAAATACGAGAAATTGCGGACAAGCTACTGATTAACATCTCTACTGGCCGAGTAGAAATGCATGACTTGCTGTCTACGTTTGCCAAAAAACTTTGTTCATCCTTACCTTCTGAAAATAGGCATAGCTATGGAAACCACGTGATTTGGAATCTTGAGAGCTTTGCTTCTTTGTCAAACAACAAAGAGATGAGATCTAACAATCAGCGAAGGAAAAAGGATCAACCTAACCTCCCAAAGGCTGTAAGTTTTTCATCATCATTAATGGAAATTTTAGGGCTTGTTTTGTGGTTCTCTAACTTCTATTGCTAACTTATCAGGATAGGGACAGCGTCAAGGGTATTTCGGTGGACATGTCTGAGTTAATTGATAAACTAACCTTCGATTCTGATATCTTCAGCGATATGTGCAATCTAAGATACCTCAAAGTCTACAACTCCCACTGTTCTCGTGATTGTGATGATGATTGCAAACTGAATTTGCCGGAAGGACTTAAATGGTCAATGGAAAATCTCCGGTATCTCTACTGGCTACAGTTCCCACTGAAGAAACTTCCGAAAGCGATAAATCCAAAGAATCTCATTGAACTCAACCTCCCTTACAGCAAGATTACACGACTTTGGAAAGACACTAAGGTGTGCTTTTTTACAGCCTCTCTGTGAAGTCAGTTTCCTGACCTTTATTATATTGACTAATTGTTGGCTCTGTTTCTGGTCACAGGATACATCCAAACTAAAATGGGTCGATCTCAGCTACTCAAGCGAGCTATGCGAAATATCAGAGTTACTAGGCGCTCGAAATCTCAAAAGGTTGAATCTTGAAGGCTGCACAGACTTGACAACATTGCCGCAAGGGATGCAAGAAATGAAGAGTCTAGTTTACCTGAACCTGAGAGGATGTACACGCCTTGTGTATATTCCAGAGATGAAGTTGATATCTCTGAAAACTCTCATCTTGAGTTACTGCAAGAACCTTGAACAGTTTCCGATGATTTCAGAAAGTCTCGAAGCTCTTTACTTGCAATGCACGGCAATAAAGGGTATTCCTACTTCAGTTGAGGATCTTCAGCAACTTGTCCTATTAAATATGAAAGACTGCGAAGCGTTGGTGAATCTTCCCCATTGTCTTGGAAAGCTAAGAGCTCTTCAAGAGCTAATACTCTCTGGCTGCTTAAAGCTCGAGATTTTTCCAGAGTCAATGGAGAACATGAAAACTATCAAGATTCTACTGCTAGATGGAACATCAATAAAGCATATGCCAATGTTAATGCGTCGCGGTTTGAGTGGTGGCTACGGTCTATCATCCTCATTGCTATCATTGTGCTTAAGTGGAAACGATCTCGAGAGCTTGCAGGACAACATCAGCCAGCTTTATCATCTGAAATGGCTTGACTTGAAGAACTGCAAGAAGCTCAAATCTATTCCAGTGCTTCCACCAAACCTCAAGTGTTTAGATGCACATGGCTGCGTCTCGCTGGAAAAAGTTGGAAGCCCTCTAGCCCGTCTCATGGGGACAGGACAAATCCATTGCACATTCATCTTCACGAACTGCAAGAAACTTGATCAAGTTGCAAAGAGTGAGATCATATTATACACTCGGAAGAAAAGCCATTTGATGTCAGATGCTCTGAACCGCTACAATGGGGTATGTACTACTCTTCTCTCTCACAAAAGCTTAAATTTTGTTGTCCATATGCACACAGCTTCACGATCTTGTTTTTGGTATAATTTTGTAGGGCTTTGTTTTGGAATCTTTGATTGGCACTTGTTTCCCTGGATGTGAAGTACCTCCATATTTCCATTACCAAGCTTTTGGATCAATCTTAGAGACGAAACTTCCTCGGCGCTGGTGTGACAGTAAGCTTATTGGGATAGCTTTATGCGCTGTTATATTGCCTCCGGACTATCACCATCAATGTAACCGTTTCTTGGTGAAATGCACTTGTGAGTTCGAAACTGAAGATGGGCCAAGTATCAGTTTTACTTCCATTGTTAGAGGCTGGAGCGTACCAGGCGATGAGCCACGTAACATTGAGTCTGCTCATGTTTTTATTGGCTATACAAGTTGGCTAGATATCAACAAACGCCACGTGGAAGACCATGGGAAAGGATGCATTCCTTCTAAGGCTTCTCTCAACTTTCAGGTCATTACTGATGGTGCAACTGAGGTAGCAAAATGTCAAGTGCTGAAATGTGGCTTTACTTTGGTATATACACCAAACGATATCGATGGTATCTCTCTAGAGAAAATTGGTGATATCGCTCCAAGGAAGAAGGAGAGGGAGAATGACGTAGAGAGTGCATATTTAAACAAACCTCAAAGAAAGGATTATGATTTCTGGCATCAAGAAACTGTGGTGTGACTTCGAGGAGGGATGAATGCTTCCATGATGAACAACTTGCAGAAGCACACGTCTCCAGAACATAAGAGGAGAAAAAAAGTTTATATGGTGATAATGAATGAGTGAGGCTATCATTAATATGGTAGGATGATAGCCTCACTCATTCATAAGATGATGATAATGATGCTTCCGCTATATATACTAGCCTCACTCATTCATAAGATGATGATAATGAATGAGTGAGGCTAGTATATATAGTGGAAGAGAGACTTTGGGCGCAAAGGTTTGCCGTGGCGGTCACTCGTAGATAAACAGAAATATTTCAAAAAACTTTTATTCTTTATCGTTAAGAATATGTAGATAGAAAATATTCCGAAAATAAATATTCTTTGTTCGATAAGTGTAAGGGCAAGACAAAATATTCTGTCATTAATTTTCGACTCAATTTATCGAATTTTACAAAAATATTTAAAGAATATTAACATATTTGTGAAAATAAGTTAATAAGTAGTTACTCCAAAAAAAACATTTTTTGTGGGCTTTACACAAGACCCAAGACCTAAGTCCAAGCCCAAGCCCGCTTGGCGCGCTTGCGTGTGTATTGTTTTGCATAATAGCTCTTTCTCTCTTTCATCATAGTATCTTCTTCTCAAAGCTAGTGAACCTTATTGAGAGTATATCACTATATATACTAGTGAAAAATTCTTCTAACTTTCGATATGGGACAAAATACACATCTTGACATTTGTTGACTTTTTGTCTTGATTACATGCCCACTTTGACCAAAGATTTCTCATTCAAATCAACTTAGTTTTTGACAAGTAATTACATTATCTTATAATACTCATTACAAGGAAGGGAAGATTACTAGAATACTCTTTTAAATAGGGGGTTTAGGTAGAATAGCTGAAATTGTTTTTTATTACTGAACTAACCTAGCGTACCGATTATGCTCTTCGAGCCTTTGATAACAAAACGGTATTTACGATTGTGCCATTATTTTTCTTTGCCACGTCAGCGAGTTGTTTGACGGTAGACTTGTTTCGTATGGTCAACTGCTGGTAGATTTGTTTTTCGCCGGTAGATTTGTTTCGTGTGGTAGACTTGTTGTTGACGCTGAAGTGCTTATGATGCAGTAGATTTTTTGGGAATGGTAGAGTTTTTACTTGAACGGTAGATTTGTTGGGGAACTTGGTAGACTTAAAAATATATTGTGGAAGATTTTTGGTTTTCGACCCTACCAGAGGGTGATTGGTTGACTTTTTACGTTCATTAACTTTAAATGGCGGTAGATTTGTTTTTGGACTTGGTAGATTTATTTTCATTTGGTAGACTTAGTATTTGTGGTGGTAGATTTTTGTTAATCCTACTTGGTGGTAGAATTATTTTGTTGATGGTAGAGTTTTGAGTGCCAACGAATCCTGGTAGAGTTATTTTGTTGTTGTGGTCGATTTACTTCATTTTCGTAGTGATAGAGTTATATTTTCCATAATTACCAGAATAACATCATTGGTAGGTTTATTGTGTTACACAGTGGTAGACTTCTTATATGCTGGTAGATAGTTGATATTTTAACATATCGTGATTGCGTAGTGGTAGACTTTTTCATGTGGTATTGGACGGTGAAGAACGTTGAAATCAGATATTAATCAGTGGGATGTTGATTTTGGACGTCATAAGAATGCGAATATTGCAGTGAAGAGATTCAACCTCTATAGTGACTGTTGAAGACTCGTTCATTATATTTGAAAATTTATAGAAAGTACATAGAGAAGCATTTAAAAAAAATTACTTAGAGATGTTCAACGAACGAAGTGCATAGAGATAGATGCAGCGATCCATATTACACAGTAGAAAATAGACGTTATTAAAACTGAAATCTAAGCAGTTGGTACTGAAAAAAAAGGTAGCACTCATGGCAAAACATTAATGGGTGTTTGAACCTGCAGCTTGGAAATTCTTCTACTTTGAAAACATTAGACAACAGATCTGCAGTAGCACTCTGCATTCTCATCTTGGTTCGAGAAACCTGTATTTCGACTGTTAAACACTCGTTCATTGCATTGGAAAATTTGATGATCTTAGTGGACACACAAGTTAAAGAAAGTACATATAGAAAGTACTTAGAGATGTTCACTGAACGAAGTACATCAAGATTGAAGTATCGATTCATATTACACAGTAGAAAGTACACGATATTAGAACTCAAATCTTGGAAAATCCTCTACGCTGAAAACATTTGGCAACAAACCTTCTTGGTTCACGTTTGTAGGTGGTGTTAAATCCATTATACTGCCAAACCTACATGGTTTGCTGATAGATTTATGTATGTTCGTGGTAGATTTATACATGATTTAGTGGAAGGTTTATGCATGCCGTGCTGGTAGATTTATATTTACTAATGTCTTCCCCCTTTGTACATGTCGATTACTGGAAGTTACATCGGGCTCTATGATATATAGAAGCCAAATCGGTGTATCAAACAAATCTACCATCATTATCAAATCTAACCAAATATGTTATATATATTAAAAATCTACCACCATAATAAAACATATCTCATGCCATAATTAAATCTACCATAACGCTTAACTACTAATAAAATTTATACATCAAATCACTACAAGAAATAAGTAGCATACCGACAAATTTTATTACATCAAAAATAGTAGCAAAAATTTGTTATAAAATGATACAAATTAGTGACGTTATTTTTTATAAAAAAAATTATGGCAAATTGGTAAGAATTCGTAGCGAATTAGAAACAGATTAGAGACAACTGCTGGATTGTCACATATATGTTACAATTTTACTGCACAGTGGTTGTGGCAATATTTAATACAACAATTTTGTAGTAAAATTGTAATAAAATATTATAATTTGTTTTATAATTTAGGTGGTGTTACCAAATACTTCACTACATAAAAACAACACCATTTACTAGGGGTGGGCATTTTATCTGGATCCGAAAATCTGATCCGGATCTGATCCAAAAATATCAAATCCTTCACAATACCCGATTAGATATAATTGTTACTAACTTTCGGGTACCAAGTAATATTCGGATCCGATTCGATATCCAAAAAAATTATCTGAAATATCCGAATTTCTAAGTTCGCTTAATATTTATGTTTTATATTCTTTGCATTTATATTCATGAGGTAATAATTTGAATATTTATTATTATTTTAAATTTTAAATTTTACTTTGAATTGAAATTGATATTATTTTAGTGATATTTGAATTGTTATGTTTAGATTTTTGGTTGATTTCGAGTATTTTTGGTTATATTTGGTTATTTTCCATTATTTTTTGGATAAAGTACTTGAACTCGGATTGAATGCAAAAAAACGAATCCAAATTTTTTTATCCGAACTGAGCCGTATTCAAAGAGCTCCGGATCCGAACCGAATCCAATCCAAAATATAATAATACCCAACCGGTACCAAAGCTATATTCGCAAAATATCTGAAACCCGAAATACCCAATCCGATGGGATTCAGTTCCTATGGAAAATGTTGTAGGAAATTAGTTAAAAATGATTATTTTCTACCAATTTTCTATAAAACTATATTGTATCTTATTTTTCGTTGGAAATCAAATATAGTAGATAACTTGTAAGAAATTTCCAACAAAATACAATTGTAGAAAAATGTGGCAAAAATAGTGGTAGAAAATTGGTGGAACAATTATCTACCAAAAATAGTGGTAGAAAATTGGTAGAAATTTTTTTACAATAATTTAAATTTTAAATTTTACTTTGAATTGAAAATGGTGAGGATAATGGTTTCGATACCCAAGATGGTGATGACGATGCAGCATGCTGATGTGTTTCGACTTCATCTTGTTAAATATGTTAAATATGGTTATATGCTCCTAACTATAAATCTTTTTTGGTTTGATTTGTTAGCAATATTTAACATTTCAAGATTAATTAGTTTGTATCTTTTGTAACTCTTAATCTGCTCTCCTCGCAACAATGTTTAATATCTACTGTAATTTATGTTTAATATCTTTTGTAATATTGCATGTATGAATTTTATTTGTTTTTATTTTTCTAGTATAGTATTTTGTAAACTTGCTGCGCGAGATTTTGAATTAAGTTCACAATTATATTTCCATTTGCAGCATATATAGGTCTACTTGTTGCACTAGCCATTTAGTAGATAAACTCTCACAAAGAATCTGTGAATTTTTAAAGCAAAAAATTACAGTATTTTCTATAGCAATTTATCGGTAAAAAGCCATAAAAGTTTAGAGGTTTAGGTCGCCAATAGTGACAGTCAAACTTGTAGATAGTTGTTGCCATTTATTACAGTAAATTTGAAGCTATTTGTAATTATATTATTATATTTAATATGTATCTAACTGTAACAAGTTGCTATATTTTTTGGTGTGGATATTTGTAGTGGGTTTTCTACAATCTGTTAGTGGGACTTTCTAACAAATAGCCATAATATATTTGTTACAAAATTGTAGATAGTTGTTGCAACTTATTACGGTAAATTTGAAGGTAATTGTAATTATATTGTTACATTTAATATGTATCTAATTGTAACAAGTTGCTATATTTTTTGTGTGGATATTTGTAGGGATTTTTCTAGAACCTGTTTGTGGGAATTTCTAACAAATAGCTACCAATATGTTTGACACAATTGTAGCTAATTTATCACAAAAAAAATTAAAGCAAATTTAATTCAAATTGTTACGATATTATTTTGTCTTTAATTTGTAGCATTTTTGCTTCAGCTTGTTACAACACTCGATTTGCTACAATTACATAGTTACGAAAATGATTTTGAAACCAATTTGTAGCAACCGATACATAGCTACCAATTTTTTAACATAGTTACAAAAAAATATGTAACTATGTTCCTTATTTCTTGTAGTGAATCTACCATCAAGGGAAACCAGAATTTTAATGATCCAAAACCTATTAAAACAGGAAAATAAAAACCCTAGGAACAAAAACTGTTGCAGGCCGCCGCTATATCAATCTCTGAGAAGATGGCCACCAGAGAATGCGGGGACCATTCACCCATCTGAAACCACTCTCTCGGGGAAGAGATTCACATACTTTTTGAAGCCTCTAGGGAATTCCGCCGGAGAAAAAGCAACCAAACATAAGAGAAGATGAAAAAGTCGATCTGGAGACAAGCTCTATCGGCCATGGATCAACCGCCGCAGATCTGGCCGGAGAGAAAAAAAAAATATAGAAAGAAAATAGAAAGAAAACAAATGAGTAAACAAAACAGATTTGACGGAAGAGAGAATGGAAAAGGGGAGAGAGAAAGAGAAAGAAGAGAGAAATAAAAAGATGATCGGAAAAATCAGATCTGGTCAGAAAAACCAGATCTGGCCGGAGAGAAGAAGAGAAAAGAGAGAGAAAGAGAGAGAGAGAAAAAAATAAAAGAAAAGGAAAAGAAATGAGAGAGAAAAAAATTAGATTTAATATATATATATATATATTTTCCATAATAATTAAAAAATATTATTTTTATTTCAAATTTAAATAATATATTTTTTAATTAATAAAATTTATTTTATTCTTATAATGGTATTTTCGTTATTCTATACATGTTTTGGTTAAATGGTCTTTTACAAATTTATTAAGATTAGTTTGGTAAAGTTATTCTATAATACCCTATTTAGTAAAGTTATTTTAGGTAAATAACTCTTACAAAGAATTCAAAGAATCAATAATCAAATCATTTTGGTAACTATGCTCAGTGGAAATATTGTCGGAAAATTGACCTAAATTCCAACACTAAGAGCAGAAAAACTGCGCTGTAAGCGCTTTGAACCTGGAAAGTACATCAATTGACAAGATATAGTTTTAACGAGTGTGTTACAGTGGAATTTGTGCTAACTAATGAGATATAATTTTATATATATATTTGGGGAACATATTAGTCCCTCATCTGATCTGAAATACCATTTGATCTGATCCGAAATGGGTGTAGCATATGTTGTAGGGATAGTTGCATCGTATTGTGTGTGCTATAAAATGTTAAATTCGATTGTTTGATAATAATTTGTGGATAGCAAAGGAAGCTTTTTATTTGTTTTGAATGATGTTCCTAGGTTGTATTCAACGACAAATGATAAGAACTGATGTTCTTTGAACGATATATTTCTTCTGCTATTATCATTTTCTCTGTTTTTGAAACTAATAGGATCATAGGAATGTGACAATTAATAAACAATTTCATATACTTAAAGGAGCTGGTTCAAGATTTTTTTTGTTTTTTTTGACATCAAAAGGATTTCATTATTCAAACCAATGGTTCAAATAGGTTTGCTTCGTGGGCTAACCAATTAAGAACCATTCCGCTTACATGGGAAAAGATGAGATCTCGAGCTCGAGCCAATTTTTGCAAGGGAATCAGCTTGGATATTACAAGTACGAGCTGGTTCAAGAATTAAACACAGGACAAAAAAAATTCATAATTTATTGTTTTGACATGTGAAAGCAGACATGGACTTAAAGTGTCAGAACTCAGAATTTAAATTTGGTGCTTTCTTGATTTTATGCTTCGATGATAGAATAACAATAAATCATAATTCATTGTTATTGTTGTTTTCTTGATTTTGTGCTTCGATGATGATAAATCTAATTAAGAATGGATAACGCAAAAGTATAAGAAAAATCTCGAATTAGTTTCTAGAAACTTTTCTTTCACATATATACAAAATTTGTAGAGTCAGTGGCCTAAGATGTTAAGAATAGAGACTCTGTATTTGATTAAAGACATGGAGAGAGATTCGAGTCCATCTTCAAGATCTTGAATGCATGACTCTAGGATCTGAGCATCCTCCATCTTTAACGTCTTCTCGGTTTGGAATTCTGAATCAACCCTTGCGAATTCGTTTGCTTGTGCTTCACTCGAGACCTTTTTCTGGCTCATTAGTTTGACACTATGGACCATTTGCCAAAATTCTTTGATCCAGACATGAAGCAGAACAGTGAATCAAGAAAGGGCTATTGTAATAGCTTCTGCTTCTCTAAACATAACAAGAGATTCATCGTTGCACTCATGTTCCTGTTTGACCTTCAAACTCTTGAGGACCTTTTGGAATGTTTTCTTCAGGGATATTCTTGAAGCTAAGTATTTCTTGATCTCTCCTGATAGATCTCCTCGCTTTCTTCTCAGAATCGATTGGATCTCCAAGAGACCCTCTTTCATCTGCGACAAAGCATCCTTAGAGATGATGCACAAATCTAAGATCCTTAGAGGTCCATCAAGAAGCTGCTCCACAGATTTCTTATTATGCTCTTGTGCTAGAGCCTTTTGATAGACAACTAAGCTTGTTAAGAGACTCGTGTAGCTCTTGAATGTTGTCAAGTCTTTTGCAGATAGAAGAAGATGTTGAGGCTTCCTCAGAAGATCTCAAACGGGTCAATTGCTCCTCGACATGAGAAGCTTGTGGGTGAAGGTGAGAGACTGCCATTTTTTGTTAATAATTAAAGAGAGCTAAAGATGTTTGTTATTCCTTCTCAATACATATATATATATATATATATACACCATTAGGAAACAAAGGCAAGAGGAATCTCTTGGTGGTTAAAAAATATCAATTCAATACAATATTCCCCTTTCAAATGTGACAAAAGCCATCTCATCTAATATATAAAATAAAATGATCAAGATCTCCACCATTCTCTGTCTCTTACCAACCATCCTCACAGCTCGATTTTCAGATTTTTTTTTTAAGGCATTGAGATCCGGTTCATTGCACGAGCGGCTATTCAAAATCGGACTATATAAAAAAACAAAAGACTTTCCACAGCCGGGCTTCAAACCCACAAATCATATCAACCAAGATATATTTTTAACCTTTGTGCTACAGTGATATTTTTGTAAAATAGTGAAATATAATTTTATATATTCCGTAGGAATTATGTTTCATATTAGAATACCGAAAAAGCTCTTGTTAAGTTTTGAGATGGAAATGCGCCTTGCTGAAGAGACTGAAGCTTGCCACACGGAGAGACTTATTAAATATTCATAAAATACAAATTCAAATGAGGGAGACAGAAGCTATAAAGAGTGCTCGTGCGGTTAGAGATTTGTAAGATAACAGAATAATAATTTTATTTAATTCCTTGATAAGAGGCATTATGAGATTTGCACGAGTGTCATTGCCTTCATTAGCAGACAAGCCAGCTTGGGAGATGCTTCATTGCAATAAAACAGATCTACAGATCTCGACGCACTAAAAAGTAAATGGAGATATAGTTGGAGGGAGACACTGAGCTGATATGGTGGAGATCTTTACCATTATTTGTGTATTATAAGAAAGAGATGCCTTGTGCCATCTTGAAATTAGGGGAACCATTGTGTGTTTGGTTTTAATATCTTAAGCACCAAGAGATTCCTCTTACCTGTCCTTGCTGATGGTATATATAAGTATTGACCGGTGAGACAATGAAGAAGGCAGAACAAACATCTTTAGCTCTCTCAACTTCTTGTCTTTGATCAATAACAAAAAAAAGCTTAAGATTCAAAAAATGGCCGTCTCTTGCCACGTTCGTTCCAACAGTTTTCCCTCTAGACCTCACCCACAAGCTGCTCATGTTGATGAGCAGTTGACCAGATTGAGATCTTCTGAGGAAGCCTCAACATCTTCAAGCTCTTCCATTTGTAAAAGACTTGACAACATTCAAGAGCTACACGAGTCTCTTGACAAGCTTATTCGCTTGCCCGTTACCCAACATGCACTATCACAAGACCAGAACAAGAAATCCGTGGAGCAGCTTCTTGATGGATCTCTCAGGATCTTGGATTTGTGCAACGTTTCCAAGGATGCTTTGTCGCAGATGAAAGAGAGTCTCATGGAGATCCAGTCGTTTCTAAGAAGAAAGCGCGGAGATCTATTGGGAGAGGTCAAGAAGTACTTAGCCTTAAGAAAATCCCTCAAGAAGACATTCCAGAAAGCACAAAAGCCTTTGAAAGTTGCACAAGACGAAGCATCTTTGGCTGTCTTTGGAGAAGCAGAAGCTTTTACAATTGCTTTGTTTGATTCTCTCTTTAGCTACATGTCTGGATCAAAGACTTGTGGAAAATGGTCACTTGTTTCTAAGCTAATGAACCAGAAGAAAGTTACATGTGAGGCGCAAGCAAACGAATTCACAAGGGTTGATTCCGACGTTCAGTCTGAAAAGACCTTGAAGATAGAAGATGTTCAGATCTTAGAGTCATGCATTCAAGATCTTGAAGATGGAGTTGAATCTCTCTCTAAGTCTTTGATTAAATACAGAGTCTCAATTCTTAACACCTTAGGCCATTAAAGCCTACAAGTTTTGTATAGAAAAGAAAAGATAATAGAAACATATTCTGATATTCAACTCTCAATTCTAAACATCTCATTTATTTTATCTTTGAGTCTTTAATCATCAACGAACAAGTTCATTCTAAAAACAAGAAATCAGAAAATGTTGAGTTATTTTTGAACTCCCAAATTTTACAGTTTAAACTTCATGCAAAACAAATTCGGGTTAATAACTTCAGTCCACCTAATTGACGCTGTCTCGATTCTTTATTACAACATTACGATTATTGAGTTTCACACGTTTTCTGCAATTATAATTCTGTCCATGCCTGCATGGTGGGAAACATTTGCACTGATCAAGAAAATATAAAAAGATTGAAACTTTGAAGTCTCCAAAAAATAAGAAGTTTTAAAATGTCTATGTATATTCACATGTCAACATCGATGAACAAGGATCTTGTCTGTATTCTATAATTCTATTATTGAACAAGCTGCCTTATTGTTAGTTGTCACCAAGAACAACTTGGACTTTAATTTCAAATACCCCTTCGTACGCAAGGAGAATTCTAACTGCCCCTCACAAATCTGACTACCTCTCTTAGCTTGGAATTACCGATTTGTCCTTCATTAAAACAAAAAAAAAATTGAAAAAGAAAAAGAAAAAGCAGCAGCAGTTTGGTAGGAAATTAATTGAAACCAATCCTGCGATTTAATCATTTAAACTAACCAAACCAACCAAAATTTAATTTTATTGTTCCTCTTGTTGTTTTCTTCCTCTCACGTCGTCTTCTTCCTCTCATGTTTCCACCATTGACAAAATCGGAGGCGTGAAATTGAAGGTTAGTTGTTGCTGTTTCTTATACTATTTTTGATTTCTTGATTGAATTATCAAGTTTATGTTATATGCAAAACAATTAATACATAGTTAATTAGAGAATTTCATAGTAAAGAAAATTTTGATTTTTTTTTTTGGTCATTGGAGCTGCTGAGCTAGTTGGGTAAGGCTATTAGAAACTGATATTGATAATTAAATATGATATCTTGGTTAACTGAGCAATGAATCGTAATAACTAGTGATGATTTGTATGATGAACCAAACTTTCTGGGTACTATTGGGTACAACTAGCACAACTGGACATATTAGTACGAGTAGGATCAACCAAACTTTTTGGGTACAACTAGCATAACTGGACATATTAAGTGAATTTATTACGACTAGGATTAACCAAACTTTCTAGGTACTATTGGGTACAACTAGCATAACTGGACATATTAAATGAATTAGTACGACTAGGATGAACCAAACTTTCTGGGTATCACTGGTACAACTAGCGTAACTGGACATCTTAAGTACGACTAGTAATACTGGTACAACTCTGATAAGATTACCTTACGATTGTTTTGTTCTTTTCAGGGGAAATGAGTAGTAGTGGTTGCACAGTCATATGTTTTGATTATGGGGGGTTCGATTCAAAAGACGGTGATAAAGTTATATGGAATTCTGTAGAAGATGAGATTCACACTTTAGTGATGAGGAAATCTTTGGAGGATGTCACTTATCTTGGATTAGTGGAGGGAATTTGCAGAAAGGTTTTGATAGATGCAGCTACATCTCAGCTGAAAATTAGTTACTATCCAATGGTCTTGAACACGAAGAAACCATCATATATTTGGAATGACGAAAATGTTTTTGGTTATCTACTACAAATGAGTAAAGATCAATGTAGAAGTGTTCTACATATGGAGTTCATCAAGGATGTTGATCAAAGTCATGGAAGCGTGCATGTTTCAAGAGAGGATCATGGAGTTGACGTTGATGTAGGTCCGAGTAATGATGAGCTGTTTTCTACCGCTAGAGATGGCTTAGAAATACAGGACAGTGAAATGTAAGACAATGAAATGCCAGACAATAAGATGCAAGAAAGTGATACAGATCCTCTTCAAAGGTATGAGCTCATGTATGATGATGATACAGAAGTCAGACATTCTGATGGAAACTCGCAAGTAAGTCATGGATGGGAAGATGGTTTAGATATATATATATATATAAAGGTCAAGAATTTGACACTAGGCAGGGACAGCAAGCTCTCCTGCAGAAAGGTGCACATGAGAATGATTTTGAGTATGAAACGAAAAAGTCTGATCCCACACGTTTCGTGGTAAAATGTTGGGGAGCAAAAGAGGGATGCAAGTGGGGTTTAAGAGCTTCTGTGCGTATGAACTCAAATAGTTTCACTATTGTCACTTACAACAAGGTGCACACATGCTCTCGGGTTACTACAAGTACAATCAGACAAAAAAGGAAAGGCACACCACACTTAGTTGCAACTGTTTTGGCTGAAGACTATCCAGGTCGATTCGACACACCAGATCCAAAAACGCTGATCAATATGGTTCAAGGCAGGCTTGGCGTGAAAGTATCGTACTCGACAGCGCTGAGAGGAAAAAACAAAGCTGCTAATGAGGTGCGGGAAGTTCTGAGGAGAGTTATCAGTGGCTATATTTTTATTTGTACATGCTAGAGAAAGTGAATCCGGGTACACAGACTTGTGTGGAATTAGATGAGCAGAAAAGGTTTAAATACCTATTCTTTGCATTGGGAGCTTGCATAGAAGGGTTTCTATAGATGAGGAAAGTCATCATTATAGATGGAACC